GAAACAGCAAATAGGGGAGGGGTCGTATCGAGCGGTCGTGCGCCACAAATCTTGGACCCTGGTGAATATCAAGCAAATAAGATTGCGATGTTATGCTTGAACCATCTATCACATTAGAAAAGTGCCAGAAAGGAAACCTATTCAACGAAATGTTTTGCCTTACGTAGCATTTTCGATTTCGACTGCTATGGCCATTTACTACAAGTTCATAATATTACATTACAAAATGTTAAGATAATAAAATAAACAATCTATATAGCAAACTAAGTAGACAAGAACTTACTTCAGTCTCACTGAGGCCATTCTTCAACGCTGCTAACCCCGAATCCGTAATGCATCCGAAGACATTGAGGGCATAGAGATGCCCGCACATTCTGCAAAAATCACATATAAATCATGTAACTATAGAAGTATATGGAGGACAAATATGAAAAGCATAAGAAACGGCAAGAAATGTTCTTACAAGAAATTCATAGGCTGTATGCCGTAACATCTGTTCAGCGAAAGTGATTCGAGCTGTTGAAGAGTCATAAGGAACTGCAATCCTCGCTCAGTGACGTTCACATTATCGGACAAATCCAGCTCTTTCAGATTCGGGCAGCACGTTACGAGGTATTCAACCGCTAAAAAAATTTTCTCCTTAGAATTTGTCAACTTATACGATGTGCATCGATGAAATGGCTCTGAAAAAAATGAAATTCGCATCATTAGAGCCAAAAAAACCAACCTTCATCGTCAAGTGATGATTTATTCAAAGACCCAGCCATATTTAGCCTTGTCATTGTATCAGGGAGATTTGAGCAAAATATGAGCACTGTCTCTTGATCCAAACTACTCCATGACAAGTTCAGATGCTGTATCCTGAAAGTTGCTGATTGCAAATAGAAGCACAAAGCCAAATATACACTAGCAATGATTTCTTTGATCACACAAACCAGCAACCAGCACTGTTGCTTTCAGTGACTTGTTCAAGCAACTTGAAATTTGCAAATTCTTTGGTTTTGACACTCACGCTATACATCCTGAACATATCTGTTGGGCACCGTTGGCATCAATGCCGACAGTCATAGACAGATCGAGGCGGGAGAGAACACGATTGTTTCCAATAGACGCGCAAATATCGGCGGCGTCTGCTCCTAAGTCTTGCCCCTCCATGGATAACGCCTGAAAGGATCTCTATGGGTGAGAAGTTAACTATCAAGACATATTATGTTCATTAATGCTCGCAGTTCTGTCCAAGAACCCCAGTACATTTTAGGGGTTACTAAGAGTGACAGCAGATACCATCAGTCATCTCGCAGGTATTGGCCACATAATTTTATAAAGTACGGTGAGAAAAAGAAGAGTTGCGATAGATTTAA